AACATTTAAGCGAGGTAACGGTGGTTTTTTTTTCACATATCAGGGTATCCTTGAATATTTTCATACTTCAAAAGTATATCATCCTGTTCAACATTGAATACTTCCCTGAAGTAAGACAAGAATTTATTTTTCGAAGGTGCAACGTTTTAGATTTTCACATCAGTACACTATGGATTTTTCCTGGGCAAACAAGCACTGAGATTTCGAGCAGAAGATGTGGTAGATTCGAACCATTCGCCAGATATGTTCAAAATATGGTTTCCTCTTGCTACTGTTGTAATACACGGAAAGCCTTTAATGCTTCCTTTAAATGAACAAGCCTATGGAGATGTTGAAATTTTCAGAAAATTAACCAAAAATATTAAATTAACAAGCTAATACTTTGTCTGTTAATGTTCAATATAGTTTATCGAATTAAAAATTTTATTTCGTTTTTGTTCGTAATCATAAATCATGAATCATGAATAATCATGAAACTTATAAATCGAAAAAACCATACCCGAAAGACATTTGCTGTCTTTACTTTTTCTTTTACTGGCAATCATTACATTTAAGCGAGGTAACGGTGGTTTTTTTTCACATATTAGGGTATCCTTGAATATTTTCATACTTCAAAAGTATATGTTCAAAATATGGTTTCCTCTTGCTCCTGTTATAATACATAGAAAGCCTTTAATGCTTCCTTTAAATGAACAAGCCTATGGAGATATTGAAATTTTCAGAAAGTATTAAATTAACAAGCTGAATTTTGAATCCTTTCCATCTTTTAGATCGCTTTGATTTTATCTTTGGACATTCATCATATTCAAGTTTTAGTGGCGATACCACTAAAGTTAATTCTCCTTTGTAATATGAAGTAATAATTGTATGCCACAGTGTTCTGATCCATTTCTCCACTCTTGTTTTAGGTGGTTTCTTGCTATTGTGAGCTTTTCTCGAAGATAATATTGAATAATAGAAGTATTTTTTCGTCCTGAACATATTCATCTTCTGCCATAAGTGATGCGAAGAAATGATTTTCACTTTTTATTTTAAAATTTCAAAAACTAAAAAGCAGATAAGAAAATGATAAGAAGTTAGATAGAACTAACGAGTACTTCGACAGCAAGAAATTGATCTTCCGAAGTTAAAACTGCATTTACATTGAATATTTGGATGGCATAATTCTGAAATTACTTAATATCTAAACTGTTTGAAGAATAAAATGAGTAAAAGAATAGCGAAAGATAATATGTCTACTATATTTTCAAGAAAAAAGGAAAATTCTTTTTTCCTGATAGATTCGTCAGATTGTAAAGTATAATGTCCCTTACCATACTCTCAAAATTTCCTTATTCACTTTCATATTTTTATATTAGCTCGAGATGAATAATCTTATCAATTATTATTTTTCTCTCCTTTTTTTTAAAAAAAAAAAAAAAAAAAAATAGAATTTTAGAAAATGATATCATATGTTAGGATTGGCAGGATGGGAAATATAGTTTAACAAACGATTTAAAGATGATGAATATATTTTTATATGCTACTTATCACTCCAGTTCACTGTTATCATTTCTAACAATCAGAAAGGGGCAAGAGTATGGGAGGGAAATAATGAAATGGCGCAAACCGTTTGCCACCGATCCAACCAAACAATCTTTTCCTTCCATCCATTTTGTCTCTTATTTAAAGCTTCTTTTATTACATCAAAATTTGCTTTCTTAACACTTATATATCATTTTCTGATCCATCTAAGCTAATGATGCATTTCCTAAATTTATGCAACATTATCTTATCATCTATCATATTATGGTTAATTCCTCCTGATACGATGGCAATTATTGGTGGTGAAAAAAAGGATTGGAATCGATTTGGTTTTCTTGTTAAAGTATCATTTTCTTTTTTTTTTTTGAGTATCGTTATTTTTTTCTTTAATTAATAAACGTACAAATTTTGTTTGTAATTTTAATATTCCTCAAAATTTAACAAATTTTCGAATTTTTTCAAAAATTGAAAACGGAAAGTTTTATGGATTATTCTTTTGCTAAAAATCCTTTATAAAGATTTTTTACCTGGATGAAGTTAATGATGCAAATAAACTGGAAGAAATGATAACGGAAATGAATGTCAACCATTTTTAGTATCACATCATTTTTTCATCATTCACTCGATTGTTCAACTCCTCCTTATTCCTCTTCCTCTTCTCACCTTATGACATTTTATTAAATCTAATATATATTATTAATGGTAATTATGTTTAGCCGATAAGAATCGATTAAGTTATCATTATCAAATAAATTATCGATTTACTTAAGTAAACAATTACTAAAATCAGAAAATGAAAACAAATTATCAATTGTAAATATTCAACCTTAAAATAATATTACTGGATGTTTGAAATTTATTAGAAAATATTTGGAAATATTCCATAGAAATACTTAAATTAGGATAGAATAATATTTTCCCTTTTGTGGTTCCTGACATAATTTAATGTACATGATGTATGTGGAACACATGTACTGTCTTGTTTTTTTTCCGGAAGACGACCGAATTCAAAAAAAAAAGAAAAAAAACATCAATACGACGAAATTCAAAAACATTTTAAGATTTTTAATTTTAAACAAAGAAATGCTAATGGAATTAATTTTGGCCATGTATGAAAATATTTAGGTATTTTCTCGTGAGGAATCATCAAATATTGTCACCAGTTGTACCGGATCGATCATTTCCACTCAGTTGATATTGACTTCTTCATATTGTTTATTGAATGCAACAACCGGAGGAAGGTAAAATTCGTGCAAAATTTTCTACTTTTATCCTATTACTTCAAAAATGAAATTATAAAGCGGAAAAAATCTACTAATATTATAAATACGGTTTCCAGTTTTAACGACATATATTGTCATTGCGGAAAATGAAATATGGAGGTATTTGAGTGATTTGGATAAAATTGTTGCTATCATCAAATTGAAGATTATCGGTTTTGAAACCGGAAATTCTCTGACTTAAATTCGGTTAGCAAAAAGTTTTAAGCTTTGATTAGACGACTGATTATTTTATTTTCCCTTTTAAATTTCATTCAGTTTATCGGCAATCAATTGAACGACTAATTTTATATAAAATCTATGCCAAGTGGAATTCTAGGCTATCCGAATTCGTAGTTACTGTACAATCACTGAAACGACCTAAAACATTACCAGCTGAAGTGGTCGAAATTGGTGAAACCTGGGGAATATTGAAAATTCCCGAAATGGCAATATCAACAGTAATCCTATTTTTACTATTACTTGTAGTACTTCCAAATTTATCTTGATGATTTTTATAAATAATTTTGTTGATACATTTTTTGAAACTTAGCAATAATCAACGAAATTACCTGTTAACGTTGATTACATGTGAACTTTGAACCTCTCTTTGAAAAGTCTACATGAAACTCAATGGTTTTTTTATAAACTCTTGTCACACCTATCACTTCTTTTATTAGAATATTAGAATATTAGCACTTCTATAAATATAATCAATATATGCGAAATATCAACCTGTTGTCAAATCTGTTCAGCTAATTGTCAATCGGTCATACATTTTCTTTTACTTAATTGGGTTATCGTTAAGCATATTATTACATTTCATGAAGAGGAAGAAATTAAGTGTGTGACATTAACTGTGTGACAAATATTTGAAAGAATGTTCGTGCGCTTGTAAAATTACTTTTTTGCAAACTAGCAAACTTTTTTGGAAAATTTTTTGAAAAATCTTATAGAAACTTTTCTTTTCTTTGGATCATATGCTTTTTCCATACTTTTAAAAATCACTTCTCCTCTAGGCGTCTTTGTTTCTCTTCTTTTCTTTTCTGTCCTTTTTTTAATTTTTCTATCTCTTTTGCGAAATTAAAAAGTGGAAAAGAATGACCCAAAAAATTGGTGCAATATTAAAAAGGGCAAAAGAATTAATCAACTTAACAATTTAACGAGTTCTTTTTTTCTTGTGTGCTAAAAAAATGACAAAAAAAAAATGTCACCTATAATAATATAATGTCCCAAATTAGTTTCCGCCTTTTCTTCCTTTCATCTTAAGAAAGAAAAAAAAAAAATAACATGAAATGAAGTACATGAAATACTTTTTAACAACTGCTACAGTAGGCCGTTTTCTTGAGAAATCTAAATAGGAAAATGATATCTGATATATGGTAAGCATTCATTTTAATTGTACAGATTACTGTATGATCTGTAGTATTCTGATATATATTAACTATTGCTACTTTGTAATTTTTCTTTTCCTGGCCAATTTTGGATTCTTTTTAATTAGTTTTAGCTTTGTCCACCATTACCAGCACCAAAAAGAGTTGCTCAATTAAACGTTCGGCCATCATTGATACAGTCATCGATCGTAAATTTTGATGTGTTGAAGTTGAAAAAGAAGAAATGTTGGATGGTTGGATTTACTACCACCGATAATGGTCGGTTAGAATTCATTAAAAATGATTTTTAAAAAAAAAAAAGTGCTATCAAAATAAGACGAATAATGAAGTAATAAATTGATAGGGTATTTCATAGTCTTCATATTTATAATACTTCATATAATTTACATATTTTTTTTTCTCAAACTTTTATTATTTAGGATTTTAATAATTAAAATTAAATTTATAATTTACATATTTCAAATTTCATTTCAAATATTTTAGCAACTGAATTCATCAAGCAAGATCAAATTCATTTAATTAATATTCAATCGATTAATCCAGTAATGGATAAGCCTAACTATTTTTGGTCACCTATTATTGCTAATGAGACCGCATGTTGGGTTTGTTTATTCTTTTCATTTTCTTATTTCTTTTTTCTCTCTAATCTTAAAATCTTTTTTTTTTCTGCTATTTTAATCTTTCATAGTAATCGATATGCATTTTTGTTTTCTTCTTCCCTTGCATTGATTAACTGTTCTTTCAAATTTTTATCAATCTTTGCTGTCTCTTCATTTACATTATACACTTTTCTCGTTCTTTTTTTGCACTTAAAGAGCGAAGATATTCATAAAATTTGTGAATTCCTGAAAAAAAAAAATTCTTTCTCTCTACTTTTATCACTATCTTTCGTTTTTCTTTTTTTCTAACAATTCATTGTCCTTTTCTCATACTAATCTCTTAACATTTCAAATCTGATCACTTTTTTAATCTTTGTTCTTAAAAGCTTTTTTTTTCCCATCCTTTCATTTCCGTTTTTTTTTTTTTTTATTATTCGTTAGATCACATAAAAAAGGTTATTCATCTGTACAAATGAGTGAAATAATTCCCTCATTTTTCAATCAGAAATTAAAGAAAAATCAAATTATAAATGAAATATTTATTAAAATTACGTGCACATTCGTCATTTCAATTTTCATCCTTTTATTAATAATCATTTTTGAAGTAAACAAGTAATTTATTTCATTTTATTTTTAAGTTATTCTATACTCTTTTAAGTAGTATTTGTTCATTTATTTAATAAATATATATTCAAATATGTTCTTATATGCTATTTATTTCAAATATTTCACCTTTAATTATCATAATTATGGTTAGAAGATTTTTAGGATGATGCTGGTGCAGCTCTATTTTGTTCCACACGAAATTGGGGACATACATTAGTTGGCATATTTCAACATTTAATAGCTACAAAGAAACCGATCGATCCACAGAAAGAAGATGAAAAAATGGACATGACGGATAGTTGCAGTCGTGCAATTGAAATGCGTTTCTCAAAAACAACTAATCAACAAAAATTTTTGAAGCAATCCAGAAGTTTGATATTGCCGCATTTGTTAGCACATACCAAAATTGTTTCCGGGAAATTCCGCACAATTTAACACCCGGAAAATGATCCGGAATTCGAAATATTTCTCATTTTTTATTGTAATTTTTAAAATATTATATGTACAATTCATTTTTAACAATTCTTATTCGTTACGTTTTTTCGTTTTTGTTTTGCAGATTATATTTTAATAAATTACTGTAAAATTTTATATTTGGCTTTGAACTATTTCTATAATAAATTTGCATTATTTGAAATCCATCAAATATATATATATTTGAGTAAATTTCAATCATTTGATTGTTACAGACAATTTGCCAATAGTCATTTCTACTCTCATTAGTTTACCTTTTAGCTTAACTAATTCATTTTCGCTTTTATCAAAACCTTTTAGCCCCTTTTAGCTTAGCTAATTCATTCGTTTTTATCAATGAAGCAATAAATACCATTGGTTGAAAATTTTTGCAAAAATAGCGATGCATTTGAATTGGTTTCATAATTTCTATGCAATGTGATATAAGCAGAATAAATCGAATTGGTTACAATGATAGCAATAATGATTGGATTATGATAATGTGTCATAATTGAGCTAATTTTGAATATTACGTAATATAAAGGCTATATTGCATAATATACTACTTATTATCTAACTAAGCACAATCATGATTATTCAAAAGAAAGAGTAAAGAATAAGGGAGTAATCGGCGATAACACAAAAGAACAAAAGAGATAGAGAGAATTTTCGATAAAATTGATGGTCATTTATTAGCCGTAGGGCATTGATGACCAGCTTTCATCATTATTAGTTTACTTCTACTCAAGAAATGTAGCTTTCAAATGCTCAATTCATTAATTTGTTATTGTTTTATTATCGCTAACCTGTTACATACAATGATATCAAATCATTCCATAATATTCTAAAAAATTTTTCTCGAACATTCAAAATATACAAAAGGACAAAATTGTGGCAATTAAACATTTTATTGCATTTTTTCACACTGATAACATTCTTTTAAATATCTTTTTTTTTCTTTTTTACGATGAAAATTATTTCTGTTATAGTTGATTGTCCATTAAATGTGACATTACGATAATAGCCATTCTTTCTTATTTCTTATCAATTCTTTCATTAATTTTAGACGTTAATTAATGAACATGGATGATATTGATATGATTATATGTGACATGTGATAATAATGCTTAGAAATTCCATCTAATTTTAAAATTTCCAATTTAAATTTGAGCTATTACGAGTTTAAATAGTTTAAATATTATATACGATTTAATAAAGTTGATAAGTTATCAGTAATGTTTTTAGTTATTGACCAGATTATTACGGCATTCTCGGTTTGGCATAGCTAATGATTTCAAGTGATTGATTATTTTGTTAAGTTTTAATTAATCATAATAAATATGAATTAATGACAATATCCCATATTTCAATGATAATTACCGAAAAATTGCTCCAATCACACTTACTATGCAAAATTTTATTTATATTATACATTCATCCAAAATTGCAAATAATTAAAAATTTTTAATTTCAAGAATTTTTTCTTTTTTTTTTACAAATGTTAGAATATTTTGTGATGGAAATAATTCAAGTTTATGTTATTTTTTAAAAAATTTTCTTTCTTGAAAATTGAAGAAAGTTCAATTGCTATGGCATTGTCTAATTTTATGTCATTTTATCCCCTCTTTCTTCATCTTTTTTTCCTCTTCAATTTCCTCATCTCTTCCTTTTTAAATTAAAATTTAAAAACAGAAAATTTTTATTCCATCATTCCTTGAAATGATGAG